TTTTGCTTTCTAATCACCAGTGATTGCATGTTTGGTCAATTTCAGACTCAAAAGTTGATAGAAATCTTCAATTTCCTCATCTTTGGCTTTGGTGGTTGGTGCACAGATTTATATAATAGTATAAACTGGTTTTCCTTGTAGATGTATTGATATTATCACTGACAGCATAGTACTTCAGGACAGATCTTGAAACAGTCTTTGTGATGATGAATGCCATACCATTCCTCTTTGTCATTCCCAGCCTAGTAGATCATATGGTTGTCTAATTCAAATGGCTAAAACCGGTCCATTTCAGCTCACTCATGCCTAGGATATTGATATTTATGTGTTTCATTTCATTTTTGACAACTTCCAGTTTTCCTAGAGTCATGCTTTATACATTCCATGTTCCAATTACTAATGGATGTTTGCAGCTGTTTCTACTCATTTTGAGTTGTGTCACATCAGTCAGTGGAGGTCCCAAAAGCTTTACTCCACCCATATCATTAAGGTCATCTCTATTCTGAGGAGTCAGGTCTTCCCCAGTTGTATTTTGAGTGCCTTCTGACCTGATGGGCTCATCTTCTGGTACTATATTGGACAATGTTTCAGGGCTATTCATAAAATTTTCCAGTAATATATCAGACAGTGTTTGACTGCTATTCACAAGGTTTTCACTGGCCAATTCTTTGAGAAGTGGATGGCCTCTCCCTTCTTCCAAGTCTGTCTTGGTCTAAAAGCTCCACTGAAATCTGTCCACCATGGGTAACACTGCTGACATTTTGCAACACTGGTGGCATAGCCTCCAGCCTCACAGCAACATGTAAGCTACCACAGGATGACAAACTGACAGACAAGTTTATCTCCCTTACTCGTTCCTAAGTGCTCTGCTCACTTCCCTGCCTGTCCAGGGCCCAGACTTACATAACGCTGCCCCAGACGCCCCAAGCTGTAGGCTGGCATACTGTCCAGGGCCCAGCCTTAAATAAATAAAAACACTACAGAAGCCTGAGCCACATGCCTGCCTATCTTTCCTGGCCTTCAAAACAAAAAACAAGTTTACAGTTTAGAAAGCTACAAGTCTAAATTCAAAGAGCTGGCTCTAGGGGCTAGGTGATGACCCCTTGATCTTGGGCTTTAGCTCTGCCTCTTGTTCCAGCCCCACTAGAGCTGGAGGCTTCTTCTGGCTCATGCAGCTGCTGGCCGCTGAAGCTGATGAACCCAAGATTGGCAGGTAAAATAGCACAATCCCAAGATCAGCAAGCAACACAGCAGTCCACTCGTTCAAGTCCAGGAACTAGAGATGAAGTCTTGGCCAAATGCAGGATCCAAAATGTGCCAAAAAGTTTGAGACCTTTCCTAAACCTTCTCTATATATACTGGAAGAAGGCCACATCCTAAAGATAACTCCCCTTCAATTACTTAGCTGCTCACACCAGATTCCACCATGGAGTTGTGTATAATCTCATCATGGGGGAAGAACTACTGGTTAAACCACTTAGAATCATGATGCAGCCAAGCTGGCACACAACCTTAACTATCACAGCCCATTTATTGTTTATGATTAGTGTTTTCTCTAAGTAATCTTTGCTTCCTCTAAAGTGAAAATAGTCTTCTATATTTGCTTCTAAATGCTTTATAGGTTTAGCTTTCACATTTATGTGTAAGATGCATCTCAAATTATTTGTGAATGGCATAGGCAGGGATTAAGATTATTCTTTTCCATATGAATATTGTTATGGATTGAATTGTGCCTCCTCAAAATATAATAACCACTATGCCTGTGGTTATAAATCCCATTTGTGAATGGGCTGCCTTTTGTATGTTAATATTTTGGTTACCTCTGTGCTGCTCTAACAGAAAATACCACAAATGGGATGGCTTAAACAAACAGGAGTTTAATCTCTTACAGTTTGGAGGCTTTAAGTCCGATTTCAAAGTGCCAGGCTCTATGGGCTGGGTGAAAGCCCCTCAACCTTGGGCTTCAGCTCTGCCTCCTGCTCCTGGCCCACTGAAGCTAGCGGCTTTTCTTCACTCAGACAGCTGCTGGCTTCTGAGGCTGACAGGCCCAAGGTCAACAAGTAAAAAGGCACAGTCCCGATGTTACCAAACCACACAGCAGGCCATTAATTCAAGTCTACTGCAAGTCCCAGGGTTGGGAGAGCATGGCAGGCTACTGAACAATGACCTGGCTGCATACAGGGTTCAAGTGTGCCATAAGCTAGAGACCATTCCCCAAGGCTTCTCCTTATATACAGGAAGCAGACCACATCCCTAAGGCAGCTACTCAGCTGCTCAGAGTAGATTCCACCATGGAGTTGATTACCAGTCTCATCATAGGGAATACTACATCCAGCTGCCCAGCCACTCAATCAGGCCCAGCCAAGTTGACACACAAACTGAACTACCAGTTAATGAGACAGGATTACTATAGGGTGTGTCTTGAGTCAATCTCTTTTTTGTTTAGAGATATAAAAGAGACAAAACAAACAAGTGAAAGAGGCAGAGATGGGAGCCATGCTAAACCACATGAAGAGCATGTAGGGCAGATGTTCAAGAGATAAAGACCTTCCTTCAGAGCCAACAGAGAGAGAAAGCCTTCCCCTATAGCCATCACGCTCAATTCAGACGTCTTGCCTCCTAAACTGTGAGAATATCAATTTCTGTTTGTTAAAGCCACCCCCTTGTGGTAGTTCTGTTACAGTGGCCCTAGAAACTAAGATATCCATTAAAAATTTACTTTTCAATGGAATACATTTCACTATACTCTTTGTTCCTGAGAACACTCTAAAATATACTTTCAAACCTTATCTAAGTGACACTCAGCTGATTATTTGTTGTTGTTGTTGTTTGCTGTCGAGTTGGCCCCGACTCATAGCGACCCCTCCTTGGGTTTCCGAGGCAGTATCACTACGGAAGTAGATTGCCCCATCTTCCTTCAGAGGAGTGACTGGTGGGTTTGAACCGCCAGCCTTCTGGTTAGCAGTCAAGTGCCTTAGCCACTATGCTACCAGAGCTCCCTGATAGGTTTCTCAATATAAAAGAAGTATGTCATAAGATTGTTTTGAAAAATATCAAGAGTCAAATAATTAAATAGTAAAAATAATCCTTTGAACAAATGAATTTTATTTCAAACTTAATCAAAAGGCAATTCATTTATAAATTCAAGTCTCTTTACAAAAGTAATACATGGTCATTGTAGAAAATTTATAAATTAAACATTATTTTTACTAGATTTTTAAGTTATCTTTTGTTAAAATTGTGTTCTTATAATTATGACATTGCACTGTTTGCCTATGGCAAACAACCACAGGAAGTAATGCTTTAGATTTGACACTACATTCTGTCGAAGCTAAAATTTAAAGTGGAAATACTGTCATTGTCTTCAAGTATTTATGTGTTCACAATGTTTCATATTATATCCCTTAACTTTGTCTGCCTATCTATCACCTATCAATCTATCTATGCATATACATGGACATGATAAGCACAAAAGAAGGGAAACTAACTCTAACTGTCGAGCACATACTAAATGAGGGGTATTGAACTAGATGCTTCTATTATATGAATCTCACTTAATCCTCACAATACTACAATAGAATCCTCACTTTCTCCTCATTTTACAGTGAGGAGATCAAGACTCAATGAGGTTACATATTTCCCAAAGTCCAGAACAAGTAATGAACAAAGATGGGGCTGTAAGATAAGTCTATCTGACTTCAAAACCAAAGCCCGTTTCTCTACATAGAAACACTTCATTCTTGAAGAAAAATGGTTAATTAACAAAAGACAAATTACATGTCTTAGGTCATTCATTTGTAAGTTATGTTTTCAGTAAATCAAAGCAGCAATATATATGTATATATATTTGGAATGTCTTGCTCAGGACTATGCCAGACCCTGAGATATTTTAATTTAGCTGAGGGGACATAACATGCATGACATAATTAGTGTACGATATTACATAGTTAAAATTAAGTGTTAAAGTGAGATCTATAAACCATTAATGTCGTAGGCATTCTTGAAATTAGAGGCTGTGTTGGAAGACATCAAGTTCAATTTTAGGGTGGGACCATATTACGAAGGGTCTTGAAAGACAGTAATTCAATAAAATTGAATTTAAGAAGCCCCTAGAGGTTTTTTGATGTGGCATAAAGAACTGTTTAAGAAAGTTTTGTTTAACAGTAACACTCAGGGTATCTCTGAGTAGAATGTGAGAGATGAAATCATGAAGACATAGTTCATGAAAACCTGGTCTGGATTATGGTGATGGCAGTGAGAAACTTGGAAAACAAATGATTTACTATAAGGATTAAAACTCAGCTCTCCAGTAGTATTTTGCTCACTATAAATAAGATACTATAACAGAAACAAAGAATACAAAAACATACGTAGCTGCCAGTATGTTCCCAATAATATCGGAATTCTAGATCCATCTAAGGAGCTCTGGTAGCATAGTGGCTAAGTCACTTGCCTGCTAACCAGACGGCTGGCGGTTCAAACCCACCAGCCACTCCTCGGAAGGAAGGTTGGGCAATCCTACTTCCGTAGTGATACTGCCTCGAAAACCCAAGGAGGGGTCGCTATGAGTCGGGGCCGACTCGACGGCACATAACAACAACAACAACAACAGATCCATCTAATTTAATCTATATTGTTTTCAGTAAATGAATTTGATCTTGGTATGAGGAAGCTCTTCACCTCTGTGAAAGTTTAAAGTATTTTTAAGCCCTTTTCCTCTTCTGTTATCTATGAAATAACCAGTTCTTCAGAAAAAAAGGAAAGCATGTGCCACATTTTTATGCAACCTCTGTAATCCAAGTACCAAGAGAAGGTGATTTATACCTGTTAGGATGTGTGTGGATTCTTTCAGTCATCTTCACTAGGTCAAAATTAATTCTATAAAGGTTGCAGAGCATCCTTTTCCTAGCTTATTATGAGACTTTTCCTGGTTCCTTATATTAATGATTAACTTAGCAAGTTATTAACTCCTAGGTTAATATTAACTATATATTAGCCTGAAATCTCTTCTTTGTAAATCTTTTAGATAAGTGTAGTATTGTAAGAATATATTCCTAATAGCTGAATAAGTGTTTTTTGATTGGTTGAATTGGAGCATAAATCAATAATCATAATTTATATGGTAATTGATTCAGACCAAAGCAAAGATGGCTTATGAAATAAGACACATGAAATAATTTATAAGCACTTCTTCTTAGAGATTAACTTTGATTCCAATGGCTTGTTTAAATTCATGGTTTTGTGGTTCCAAGATGTCATAGAAAACTTGGCTTTTGTCAAAATAGTTTCTAATACAAAGTAAATCTTCAAGGGAATAGTTATCATCTTTTCCAGTCCAAATTGTCAGGCTGTACCTGTGTTAAAATAAGGCAGAATTACATAGTTAGAAGTGAAAGAACTTTTACAGTGATAAGTAAGTCCATTAAAGCCTAAAGATAGTTACTCTCATTTGTCTCTAACCCAAATACACAGATGAAAAACTTAATTAGCAGTAAACCACATATGTTATGCAACAAAGGTATTAGTTTTAAGTATTAGGGACTGTGGTTTCCTGTTTCAGTCTTTCATCAACACTGTAGCATCAAAAGGCACTAGAGATTAAAAAAAAATTTACATTAGGTAGCCACTACAACTGAATTTCTTATGCATTACAGGAGTGTAATGCAGTCACCAGTCACTCCTCGGAAGGAAGATTGAACAATCTACTTCCGTAGTGACACTGCCTCAGAAACCCAAGGAGGGGTTGCTATGAGTTGGGATTGAGTTGATGGCAGTGAGTTACAGGAATGCTAAATGGGTTTAAGAACAGACTTGTGGCACTGGAAATGGGTCAAATTTTGGAAAGGAACTCAGGGAGACTGTGTTGCTGTTCAAGGAATTTGTTTCCCACACCAAAAACTACATCTCTAACCTGTTTTGTTCAGTCAAAAGGGTCTGCTAGGCTGTGGGGCTACTCAAATGCTGCCGACATCCCAAACATTCACGTTCACTTTGCGTTGGCCCCGTTTTTCCCTTTGGGAGTTTTACATGAGATATACGAATGGCAAGAGATACCACAAAGTCTGCCAAACAGAATAAATTTAGATCCGCTTCTGAAGAGTTGCAAACAATAACAATACGTGTAGATTTCTTATAGATGCAAGAATATGCTCTGAATTTTAATGTTAAAGTATTAATATTGAATTTTAATGTGATATGTTTTCATTTCTTCCAGTGACACTACTCCTATTCCATTAGACATGAGGGAAATGCAAAGCTGTTGAGTAGTTTCATATTTGTTTTTCCTATAAACTGGTTGTAATCCAGGGGAAAATCTTCAAAGCTGTGTTTTAAACTATTGAAAAGAACTACCATCTGACAAAGGTGTATGTTCATGTTATACAGACACACTGTTGTTCTTCTGGATGGCACCACCAGACTGGAAATGTAACAGAGGAAAATAGAGCCAGCATTATATGTTAACCCCAAAAATAATTTTTAATCTGCAGCTGTGAATACAGAAAAAGAAAATGAAAATTAGTTTAGAAACCTTTAGTTTTTGCTAAAATAGCATCTTCATAACTTTATCTGGGAACCATGGTGACAAACCTTATAAAAAGACACAGATGTGAGCATTTAGTTTAAAAGAAGAGCTTTCCAGTGTTATTTTGCTTCTTTTAATACTCCTTCTATTGTATTTAAAGTTAAATGGGAAAAGTAAAATTTTCTAAGGGTATCTTAAATTCATTTATTCTTAAATATATTAATCTTAAATATATTCATGCAAGGA